CCAAACGCGAAAGCTGACCCAAGATCCTCACCTAAGAAGGGGTGAAGTATTACAAAGGCACGGGAGGAAGGTGAGTTCACCAATGTAAGGTGAGACTGGGAGAACCCGTACTCACAGACAGTATCAACAGTGCAATGAAGAACGCGAGTCCCAAAAGGGAATCACGGGTGGTGACAGGGAGCTGCTGGGTCGGACGTTATGACCGAATACTGAAAGTGTAAGGTTAGGGATAGATGAATAGAGTGAGTGTCAATTGGCACAGCCCTTTCTCCAACATGAGGCTGAGGCTTAGACTGTGGAGATGGGGCGGGTAAGGTGAGCTTTCTTCTAGTCTCTGGAGAGTCTGGAAAATCTGGAGATTCAACTCTTGAGTCACCGAGTGTAAGGCCCGGTGAGAGTGAGGGGCATAGAGTTAAAGAGGCGAGACAACAGTCTGTAACCCAAGTTGAGAGCATGACTTCTCTTGAAGCTAATGAGTTAATGAGCACATCGTATTTTGTAGGAGCAGTTCCTGCGAGGGGTACCTATGCGCGTCCAACGCCAACCTAAGGGGAGATACGCAGAATGAGAATATGGCGTGTACACAGCAAGTGGGATGAATGACGGAGAGGGGAGTGAGAGTGCTTTGACAGTGTCTGAGGGCTTGGAGTGCAGGAAAGAGGCTGCAAGAGCACAGAGTTTGACCCCAGTCTGTGCCCGTTTTCTCCAACTCTTTGGATTTCAGCGCCCTGCCGAAGCCTCCGTCCCCCGCCATCTGAGGCTCTTGGTGCTGTGCCCTTGGAAAGTACTTGCTGGAGAGCGGGCGCAGAGTAAAGTCCGCAAGCCCGATGAGTGAGCCTTGACCCCTAAAAGTTCAACTCATGGGGTGTTTATGTTTGAGAGGTATCCAAAGGGGAGACTTGAGGAGCAGCAGTGGCAGCTTGGTGAATCCTTCAGGGCATATAGCGCAAGACTACAGGGCTGTATCGCGTTGCTGTCGCGTGCCATTGTCGTGGTCGGGACGTTACGGGAGGTAATTATGTGTGGGTTAAGTATGTGAGTGAGTACCCTGGATGAGTGAATGAGTGAGTGAGTGCCAGTGAGTACCTACTCTGGAAGTAGGGATGTACGGCTGTTGACGAATTATAGGTATGACATAAGTTGCTAGAAAAGGATAAAAGGAATGCTGTACATCCGCCAACCGCGCCTGTGGTCGCTGTCAACGTGAGTAAAGTGGTTAAGTGCCTTCCTTTTGCGACGCTTGCAGCCCAGCAGTTCGTCTAACACGAGCCACCGAGCGAATGGCCATTTAGCTGCCAGCCAGTTACTCGCCAGCCCGCTAAGGGACCAAAGTTTTTGTTAGCGTATGCCATGAGCCAACGCGTGGGACGCCAGAAGCGACAGGAAGTCGGTTCGTAGGAGTGACGGCTATGACAGTTGGAGATAAACCACGCCTTCCACGCTAAGCTACCCACGATTACCGTAGCTCCGTGGCGTGGCAGTGACAACTTGTTAGTTAGTGCGTGCGAGAGAGAGAGAGAGGGACAGCCGACAAGCTTCACTCTGCAGCGGCGGCGTAGCGGAGAGAAGGAAAATGAGGGCGGCGCAGGGCTTGACAGCGCAGAAAATGGCACAGGCCGGGAAGACCCTTCCAACGTGGCTAGCGGTAAACGACGCAGATTGAGGTGTCCCCGCGTCTCACACGTCCCTTCTTTTTCTTTCGCTTCTCTTAGCTGATTAACTGAGGTAATTGGGGCACTCTCTCTTATGTATAGTCATGGTAGCTGGACGAGTGAGCAATGTGCATTCAGGCCGCGAACAGAAGGCGGGGACACAGGCGTCATCGGCTGCATTGCATTGACTGCAGCACCTGCCCGCCCTCATTCTCCCGCATTTCATCTCACCCCCCTTGGTCGCTCACACCCAATTCATGTGTTATCAGATTGTCTACAGATAAAATGTAATGCAATTGACTGGTGGTGTGTGATGGATTCAGTCGAGACATTGTACTCATCTCATAACTTTCACTCTGTACAGTCTGCATACCTATGAAGAATTCTCCAGTAAACTCTGCAAAAGCTACCTTGTATGAACAATCGAGCAAAGTAAAAGACCTCGGCCAGCATCATCGCTCACTTCAGTCACCTACTGGGTACTCCGTACAGGTCATCCCGTCCCATCCCTCGTCTTCTCCGCGGGTCCCCCGTCCGTCCCAGTACCTCCCCGGTCACGACTCACCCCAATTCTCTCTCATGCCACGCCCTCTCACTCTCACTCTCACTCGCACTCTCAGTGAAAAAGGCTTGAAGCTACCGGAGTACATGCCCGTTGTACCCACGGTAACCTTACTACGCCTTCCACGCCTTCCCTCCTCCAATCCCGCATCCCAATCGTCACCCCCCCCGTCCCATTTCCCGTGCCTTGGTCACTTCATCGTCCTCCCGTCCTGCTGGCTGCATCCAGTCACCACCTTATTCTACCTTGCCTTGGGTTCTACCCGTCGCTGTCGCTGTCTCCTGTTGCTTGTTGCTGGCTACAGTTCCTGTTGGCCCGGTTCTTCAGTCCATACGGATACAGCCACTGCATTGCTGTGGACAACCCTCCCATATCTCTCTCTCTCGCCCACCTCTGCTATACTACGACCCAGACTCGCCTTGTCTTCGTCACATCATCAGTCATCCGTCCGTTGCTTCTACTTTGCATTTGATATTCCCCTCCAAGCCAGAAAAGCTTCGTCATCCGCGACGTGCTTTGCGACCACTCAGCTTATCCTCTGCGAACCGTAACTCCAATCATCCTCACTCACCCATTTGCCGTCGTCCTGCGACTCCGCGGCTACCTACAAAGTTGTACCTCGTCGACTTCTGGGGTGGTGTTCTCTCTCGACCAATACCATTCTCGCTGCCCCCGACCGCTTTCTTCCGCTTGGCAGGCCTGTGACTTATTCGGCCCCATAGTCACCGATTGCTACAAGTGGCCTGGCCCAACTCTACTCCTCCTCGCATCCCGTCGACCGAGTTGAGTTTATCTCGACTTTCGAGCCCGCGACCGCAAAATTTCGCGGCGAGCTACCATCCATTACCGACATCGCACCCTCTCCCGCCCGTCACCGACATCGCCAACTCTACAGCAGCGCCGTCGCTCCCCCTGCTGCCATCATTGCGGAGCCCTCGACCCCCTGCCGGCGGTAAACCCGCACCCGTTCCCCGTCGACGCGACCGACCCCATCGCCCGACTTCGACATCCACCGCCGTCCTCGACGACGACACACGACCCCGACTTCGACGCCCAACATGCCAACTCCATCCTCCAACCCTCCTCCCGATCCTCATTCGCCCCGATCACACAGCTTCTCGACATGTCCTGAAGACAGCAGCTCAAGATCTCCACAACGCAGCTGGCGGCCGCCCACCGATGCAAATCAGGCCCCTCCCCAGATGGATCCCCATCACGACGACCCCATGGACGACGACTCGTCACCCGCCCCCGTCAGCGCTCCAATGCCACAAGCCGAGGGCATGAGCACAGAGGTCATACTCGACGACGAGCCCACATCTGCCGTCTCATCCTCAAGATCCACTACCATGTCGCCGAGGCCGCAGTCGGGCGACACCGCCAACTCGTCACCGGCGGCCGATATGGAGTCTTTCAAGCATGCCGAGTCTGACGAAGAGGCCCACATGGCCGGTAACAGACAAAGGACGACACGGCCAGATGGCGCGAGGCGGCACGATCCCAGGCTATCGCCGACTTCGGTCCAACACGAAGACAGCAAGGGCATGGAACTTGATGTCGACGATGTGTGGGAAGAGGAGCTCATGGCGCCGTCCATGGGTTCTGACTTTTCCAACATGCGGGTACGTGCCCAAACGATGCAGCCTAGCGCGCCAGTGACTAACAAAACGCATCGGCAGATTATTCCATCCACGGCATCTTCATATCTTCGCCCAGGGAGCAAGTTCCACGGAACGCAACAATCTGAGCGGCAGGTATATGATGTGCAGGTCGAAATCAAGCACGTCGATCTTCGGGAGTCGTTTTTATGCGGCTACCTGCGAATCCAAGGTACGCAACAACTAGCTTCCCCGCTCATCGTGTAACCCGTTGCTAAACTCTGTGTCTGCAGGCCTCACCGAGGACCACCCCACATTGACGACATACTTTGAGGGCGAAATCATTGGCACCAAATACAGCTTCATCACCGGCCACGAGAGCTGGGGCGCCACGGACAAGATCGATCTCAGCCATTGGGGCAAGTTCAACGCCTTCCGCCCTCTCCAGAAGCAGGCGCGCAAGGGCCCAGTGGTGATCCGTGATGTTGCGCAGAGGGAGAACATTTTCATGCGTTGGAAGGAGCATTTCCTCGTCCCCGACCACCGCGTACGCACGATTTCCGGAGCCAGCTTTGAGGGCTTCTACTATATCTGCTTCAACCAGGTCAAGGGTGAAGTGAGTGGAATCTACTTTCACTCGAAAAGCGAAAAGTACGTGCCGACAATGCCCTCCCACAACCTTTTTTGATTTAGTTGTTTAGCTAACAATTTTTGCCAGGTTTCAGCAGCTTGAGCTCAAGCACGTGGAGGATAGGGGCTGCTTCGGCGCCATGGAATTCAGATGAGATCAGACACCAGATCAAGGAAAGAAGGGAAGAGGGAGGTGGGAAAGGGTGCAGGAGGCACGAGCGCGACGCCCGACTCTATTCGGTGTGTGCGTGCGCGAGCGCCTGCAGACTGCGGGAGTATGTCTGGCTGGACGCACGCATGTCTTATTCGTGTTGTCTTTTTTTTTGTGCAAATGATATCAAATGACGATGCCATGGTACGCCTTGGGTATGAGGATGGACATATTCCAAGGCCAAGCGATTTAAGGGAGGGGGGGGATCACGACACGTACAGAAGAAAGAGAAACGCATGGTATTATCATTATTATTTCTTATCGGGCAAACGGTCATGGCATCATCAAAGAAGGAGGCTGGGTATTTGCTGTACATGTCTTTTTTCTCTTGGTTTCTTCTTCTTCTATCAGGCTTCTTCTTTTTCAAACTTTGTGAAGTAACCCCGTCGGAAGGGGTTCAACTCATCTGCTGTTGTTCCTGCTACGAATGTGCGTTTGTAGGCTGCCAGCCTTTCCGGGTCTACCTGGTTGTCGGGGATGCGCCGGTATGTGATGAGTCGACGGGACCCTATTCGGGATTCAGCATGACTGTGGTAGCCTGGGATGGGAACGATGACTATGGATGGAGGGATGGAGCTCGAGTAGGCAGGTATTTAACGATGGAAAACAACTCACATTTGTTGAACGGTTGTACGCATGTGACGACAATGTCGAGGCGTGGGTGTTGCGGTGTGGGGATCTCCTGGTCCTCGTCGTTGGCGGTTGGCATCCAGAAGGAGAGGCGGCCGCCGTCAACGAGGGTCTCGGAGGCGAATTCGAGGATGTCGTCGAGCATGGCGAGGAAGCTGTATGGTTTCTTGGGGGCGATGAAGTCTCCCGACCTGGTGTTGTCAGCATTATTGATTCCTCGTCCATCATGGTAAGACGGCAAAGGGTGAAAGCAGGCAAATTGAGGAAAAGGGGTCACCAACTTATACCGCTGTTTTCCTGCCTCGACAACCCACGGCGTCTTCTCCGGATCGCGACACCCCAATACCCTCAACCCTTCTCTTACACCATACGGCGGATCACACACAATACCATCAAGCCACCTCACCCTCCTCACCGGTGAGTTGGTCAAATCTGCCGTCCAGAACTCGCCAACACGCTCCGAAAGCCCATATTGCGCGAAGTTGCCCTTCACGCTCTTCTCCCCTCCGCTCCCACGAATCGCCCGCCCGTCAATATCGCTCCCGAACCCAAGCGCTCCAAAATGCGCACAAGCAACGGGGAACGACCCCGTCCCGACAAACGGGTCGTAAAATAGCTTCCCGGGCGCCGCGTGCGCGAGGTTGGCTGTCACCAGCGCGAGCTCCGAGTCCATTGACGTGGTACTGATGTACCCCCGTTTCTTTAGATCATATTTCAGGGAAAGAGAGCGTGCGCCCGTGGCGAGGAAGCGGGCCAGGTGGACGCGTTTGGGTCCCTCTGTGCCGCGGAGGTCCCAGTCTTCGAAAATTGTGAGGTGCAGCTCGGGGGTCTTGAGGTCGATTGCGCCGTGGAGGGGGAGGTATTTGTATCCGTTTATGAGGGAGACGAAGGAGGCGTGGGGGCGGGAGGATTGGTATGTGTCTAGGGAGAATTTAAAGGTTGAGGAGCCGACGGCGGACCAGTCGAAGGTTGTTGGTGACGGGGAGGCGAGTTGGGATTTGAGGATGGGGTGGACGGCGTCGTGAGTTGGGGCTGAGGCGAGGAGGAGGTGGATGGATTGGGTTAGGAGGGAGCGGGCTACGAGGCGGGGGGCGAGGTCGATTGAGGGGAGGGTGATGATGCAGAAGGGAGACTAGTTGATGTTAGCATTTGCTTGTGAGATGTTGGGTGAGGTGAGAGATGAGTGTTGGATTGGGGGTCTTGTGGTGTTGGTGGTGAGGCTCTCATCAGGGGCAGGTTATGGTGAGAGACGCCATATCTGGTGAGTTGAGAGATGAGGGTAAAGTATGAGCAAAACGACATATGATGAGCTTATGCAGATTACAACGTTGTGTGTAATTTCTCATTGTGCATGAGCCAAGAATCGTGTTGAATAATTGTGAAAACAGATGAAGTTGCCATGTATGCCATATAAAACTGGTAGATTTCAAGACTCACATCTAGGCTGTACTCCACAACCTTCATGTCGATGCCCTCCAAATCGGCGAGAGCCTGCAGCTCAGGGAGCCGAAAGGACTCGTGGGCCTGGGAGAAGCGGACGAGGAACTCCATTACGAAGATGACTTTGGCGTCCTAGATGGTGATCTGATCGAGGGTGTCTTGGGGTCCTCTCTCATGAGACTCAGGTCGACTGGGTGAGTGAGGAGGGGCAGCCTGTTGGAAAATCCTGGCGCAAGCGCGGGGTGAAAAATGCCCCTCGTTTTTTTTTTTATTCTCTTGCGCTTCGGAGGCTTATTGGCGACTGTGTTTGGTATTAGCACTGGCACAACTCAGAGAAAGAAGAAAGAAACAAGCAGTCTTGCTACTCATAGATCTGAGAGGTCTTGGATTACCCTGTAGGCATGTCAAGAGTTCCCTTTTCTTCTGGTGCTGTTTGGAAGAAACGTTTGCGCAGTGCCTCTCATCCCGCTGACTCGAAAAGATGGTATTTTCTGGGCGCAGAGTCACTCGGATGCGCACACGCCCTCTTGAACCAATCATCAGCGATCAGAGATAATTGAGTGGATCTCGAGTGTGCTCTATCGACGCCTACCGTGGACACAAGAAGACCGCTCCAATATGCAATTCTCGAATCCGCGGTCAAGCTCTCGTCTCACTCACTCAATATCACGACCAACTTACACGCCCTGATCATTGGTGCCAACTTCAACGCAAATCAACCAAGCTCAACCAACTTGGTAACAGTGCTTCTCCAGGGAAAATGCTCTCATTCCCGACGCCTAGCGTCTACCAATCGCCAAAATGTTTCGTCACATACGGCACCATGCCTCACATTGAGCCCAAGCAGCTGCCGACAAAGGGGAAGCCGTGGGCGCCTATCCTGGGACAAGGATTCAACTACAAGGTTTGTATTTTTGAACCATTGAACCCGGAACCTTGACAAACCTCCTCTATGACTAGACCTTTAACTAACATTTCAAAAGGTTGACCTCGTCCTACCGCAAGAGTGCTTCGAGCTAGTCCGCCAGAAGCTCGTCGAAGAGCTCCCAGCACCGACGTTCCACCGCGTCATCATGACCCTCGGTCAGATTCTGGACGGCGGATTCTTTAATGAGTACATTAAGAGAGGTAGATACAACTTCATCGCAGAGTGTGATGTCGCGTGGGTACTGATTCTATGTAGGCAACATCCTCATGCTCTCGGAGGGTCGGACAAACGTTGAAAATGTATTCTCGCTTCGCGAGGGCCTGTTGACCATGTACCTCGACAAGGAAACGTACGAGCGTGCCGGTCTTGTTGGAAAACCTCACGGTGTCAAGGGGAAGAGGGGCTTGAAGCCGCGATGGGGTGAGCAAGATGAACATTTCACATTGCAGCACGGCACTTTTCGAAACTAACGACCTTCAAGTTGTGAGCTACCAGTTGCGAGACCCGTCCATGTTCCCTGGCAAAAAGGGCTTCGACAGGTTGGTGTACGCTTGCAAGAATGTTCTCAACACGCCCATGACGTGGCTATTCTGCAACGCGGCGACCACTAGTAAGTTATTCACCCAAGCTTATCCTGTCTCTGGTGCCTACTCTGACATAAATCTCCTCAGCACCATCACCAGATCCGCTGGACCAATATTTTCCAGCAAGATACACGTGCGAGCCATCCTTCGCACCCGACTTCCAGGTCCAGACACCACCGCTATCACTACCCTTGGATATCATCCAAAACGGCGACAGACCGGGCCTCGAAGACTTTGCGACAGAGACGTACGAGTGGCTATCTCTCATCCGTCTGCAGAGCCCCCGCGTCAAGGCAGGGGACACCATCGACCCGTACCTCTCACGCTACCAGGTCCCCGGGGACCCGGACACGCCGTCACACGCAAACGTGTGTAAGATCTCGTGGCAAGGCTTCTTCGCCTCGCACTGGGTGCGCGGCGTCCTCATCAACGCCCTCGTCGCCTTGCCGTCACGCACCTGGTTCTCGCTAAGCGCGACGTCCTTTCCAAAGGGCATGACGGGCGACAGCACCGAAGTCGCATTCTTCCGGCCGCCCGAATCGCTTGGCCATTACCTATTTTGGGAAGTCAAAGGTGATGAATAGCCAGTTATTAAACCTAAACAGAATGCTTTTCTTCTCTCTTCAACTTCTTTTTAACCTTGCTTCTGACGTACACTGCGCTCATCACCCAGGTCCTGACCGAGGACGGCATCCTCGACGAGGCGGCGTAGCTCGGCTTGGCCCGTGGCGGTGTGGAAGTCCTCCCTCTCGGCCAGCTGCTCTATCCGGCGCTTGAACTCGGGGTCGACTTCAGCAGGAACTTCCTCGGCTTGGTCCATGGTGCCGAGCGTCACGGCGAGACCTTCAGGGACGGGCGGCATGTCGATGGGCGGGGCAGCGGTATCGGTGGTGGCGGCGGTGGTGGTAGAAGTAGGAGCGGCAGCTTTAGCAGCAGCGGCGGCAGAGGCGCTTCTCTGTGTCTCGATGCCCTGCAGGTACTCGGCGATTTCGGGGTAGTCTCCCTCGCCCTCAATCTTTTGGCTGGCGGTGATGCCGTCGGCGCCCTTGGCGTTGATGTCGGCACCAAGCTCTTCAACCAGGCACTTGGCAGCAGCAACGGTCTCGACGACAAAGAGCGCAGTCTCCTCGTCTTCGTCCTTGATGTCGACGTTGACGTTGAATTCGCGGATCAGGGCGCGGAGGAGCTCGAGGTGGTTGTAGCTCGCTGCGGCGTGCACGAGGGAGTAGCCGTGCTCATCCTGGCCGGAGGCGATGGCGGGGTTCTCGCGGAGGAGGGTAAGCAGGGCGTCCGGGTTGTCGGCGGCTAAGAGGTAGGGATTGGGAGCCATGGTCGGTTTGGCCAAAGGTATTAGCTTGGAAATAAAACTAGCAGGAAAACTCTTGGGTCGGGAAATTTGAGGCCAAATTGGTTTTCGTCCAACAATGTTGCTGTCTTTGCTTGTTGGAAAATTTCTGCCGGATGAGGGGAGCTCCCGGCGTGACGCACACAATGGAAAGTTCATTGACCCCTCCAAAGATGGTCCTTACCGCCTACCTAGACTGGATGAGGTAAGCTGCCGTGGTCGGGTGTTGGTGGGGGTTGGAGGCCCTGGGACTTTGGCCCTTTGGGAGCTGTGCTGTGCCCCTCCAAGCCCCAGTGCCCCCCCGAAGAATCCCACGACGTTGGTGGCGCTTATCCATCGCGCCTGCCCAATGGGCCACCGTACCCCAATGTGGAAAGCGCAAGGCACACCAGGTAACCTAAGGAAGGCACAAACCACCACGCCATTTCCTGTCGATTGGCCTCCTTCCCCCGGCGTGACTACCGACGTCTTCTGAGAGTTCAACTTGCAGTGCTTTGAGGACTCTGTTTCTCTACTTCTCTGCTTCTCTTAGGTTGCCTCCCTCTCGATTTCTTTCAAGGTGTGACTTAGCCACACGCCAATATTTTGAGCTGAGGCCGCTTGATCGAGACCCCCCAGGTTGGAACTTTCTCTCGTCCGTTGCCCAAACGAGGCAGTTAACAGTGACTCACCTCCTGTACTGCGTTTGCTGCGGTCTGTAGCTACTCGACCTAAGGTACCTCAGTGTCTACTTTTCAAGGTTGTTAGTCAAGGATTAGGCTTACATCCTATTCTCAAGTACTACAAAACAAACGAATATCTCACCCTCCCAGGCCGAACGGTCAAGTGAGATCATCTTCACACAACTTGTCTCTTGTCCTTTTTCAACAGAGAAAGGGACAGCACAAGCGTCGTTCCTTGTCGTCTTTTCCATGTTCATTGCCCGAAGGGCACTTTTCTTCGCTTCTAGACAATCCCCCCTCACTTTCAACAAACCCTTAATCACAACAATGGCGACAGCAAACGCGATGAATGCCGAGGCAGTCATGCCCAAGGTCCCCTATGTTGCCCAGGACGCCGGAAAGGTCTCAGAGATGGTTCACGCCCTAAACGACGCAAAGGCCTACAACAAGTTTGCAAAGTCAAAGGGCGGTGGCTTCTCCTGCAAGAAGACGTCTTTCGACGTCAAGAACTCCCAGGATGGTGTTACTGTCGACTCCTGGAAAATGCAGGAATGGGACTACAAGAAGAGAGGCCTGCCCACCTACGCCAGAGGTCTCTTCACAGCAAGAAACTGCCGAAACGAGCATGAGATTGTGACGCGAGGCTACGACAAGTTCTTCAACGTCGGCGAGGTCAATGAGACAAAGTGGGAAAACATCATCCCGAGAACAAAGGGCCCCTACGAGCTCACCCTCAAGGAGAACGGCTGCATCATCTTCATTTCCGGCTTGGAGGATGGTACGCTGCTGGTATGCAGCAAGCACTCTACAGGTGATAGGGCCGACGCCGAGCTTAGCCATGCTACTGCCGGAGAGCGCATGATTGAGAAGCAGCTCGCTGCCCTGGGAAAGACAAAAGAGGACTTGGCCAGGGAGCTCCGGGACCGGAATGCCACTGCTGTGGCCGAACTCTGCGACGACTCCTTTGAGGAGCACATCCTCGAGTACGGTCCGGACAAAGCCGGCCTCTACATCCACGGCATCAACTTGAATCTCCCCGAGTTTGCCACCTACCCCAGCGCCCTCGTTCAGAGTTTCGGCAACGACTGGGGCTTCAAGAATGTCGGCTTGATCGTCATGGACGATGTCAACGAGGTCAAGAAGTTTCTCGAGGAGGTGGCAGAGACGGGCGCCTACGGCGACCGCGACGTTGAGGGATTCGTAATCCGCTGCAAGGAGAGTCACAACCCGGAGTCTGTTCCCTACCGCGACTGGTTCTTCAAGTACAAGTTTGAGGAGCCCTATCTGATGTACCGCCAGTGGCGCGAGTGCACAAAAGCAATGATCTCCGGAAAGCCGCCCCGCTACAAGAAGCACATCAAGATCACCGAGGAGTACCTCCTTTACGCCCGCCGGCGCCTTCAGGCCGACCCCAAGCTCGCCCAGCTCTACCAGCAAAACCACGGGATCATCGCTCTCCGCAACGACTTCCTCGCCTACAAGAACATGAAGGGCTCCGACGCCGCTAATCTCGAGCTCGAGGATGGACCCAACAACGTCAACGCAGATGTCACCGGAGACGTGATCCTGTGCCCCATTGCCACCATCGGCTG